GACAGAATAGAGTTGTCTCAAGGAGGACTCGGCGAGTCAGCTCATGGACTCGGCGAGTCGGGACGCAAAACCCAAACCCTTCTGTTTATGAGTCGGATCAGTGAGTGGGGTTAGAGAAGGACTCAGCCAGTCTGTGCCCGTGATGGTCATGAAGATCATGGTACTCGACGAGTTCAAGGAGGAACTCGGCGAGTCCAAGGCAATCTCCTTAGCCGATGAAGATGGACTCGGCGAGTTATAAAACAACTCGGCGAGTCGGTTGAAGATAGTCCCGAAGTGTTAGATGAAGGAGAACTCGTCGAGTTCTCGCTAGACTCGACGAGTGGAGTCGGGATTGTTTGGGATTTGAGGAGCATGGACTCAGCGAGTTGGTAGAACAACTTGGCGAGTCGAGTCAACTGGAAGGTTGACTTTGACCATGACCTTGACCAGAGTTGACTTAGTTGACCTCTGGAGGACAGTTTAGGCTAAGTTCTATTATTTGGTATTGGTAGCTAGGTGAGCTAGGAGAGCAGCGCCTCAGAGAATAGTCGATTAGCAGCCAGAGGATTATCAGCAGAGTTCAGCAGTACAGGTGAGTTTTCCTTCCAGTAGGAACGGGTCTACGGCCACAATGCCAGCCCGTTTAGATAGCAGTAGTTCCGGACTTTGGTCCGATGCAGTAGTACAATATGCTTGATGTCTTTGTGATCCAGGCATGTTTATGTGTTAGTTAGTCCGGACCTCGGTCCGATGCAGTATGCAATATATGTGTTTACGCTAGTAGTTATGATTATGTTATGCTATGTTCATTTAGTCCGGACTTCGGTCCGATGCAGGGGGCAAGGCCCCAGTTAGTCCGGACTTCGGTCCGATGTAGGGGGCAAAGCCCCAGTTAGTCCGGATTTCGGTCCGATGCAGGGGGCAAGGCCCTAGTTAGTCCGGATTTCGGTCCGATGCAGGGGGCAAGACCCCAGTTAGTCCGGGCTTCGGTCCGATGCAGTGGACAAGGCCCAATATGTGCTTTATATGTTATTGTTTGGTACGTGGTAGTTTGGGGGAGCTCACTAAGCTTCGTGCTTACAGTTTTCAGTTTTGGTTTCAGGTATTTCCGGTAGCGGAGAGTAGAGCTCGGGATGATCGCATGGCACACACCATAGCTAGTCAGCCTGGGATGTTTTACTCTGATAAGAAGATTATGTTTTGAAATTAACATTATGATTTTATGTTATGATTTATGTTCTGAATTAACAATTGTGGTTTAAGTAATGTTTTTAAAATGAAATTTTTAGTCATGATTTTTGGGTCGTTATATATATATATATATATATATATATATATATATATATATATATATATATATATATTAGTTTATAACCCGTGAGAACCATGGTTATAAAATTAATTAAACTTTCATATTAAAAAATAAAAATTATTAACCAATTATTTTAAATAATTAATTACTTAAGAGATATTTTTTTAGTTATATAAAATTATAATCGTTGATTTAAATAAATACGTGAAGTTATATTAACTTATAATCTGTATTAATTTTATCTTATATTTTATCTAATGTTATTAATTTAATATGATTAGAATGAAAAAATTTAAATTTTAAAATTTAAAATGAAGAATCAATTATTAATTTAATGTAATTAGAGTTGGAAATTTAAAATTTGAAATTGATAATTAATATGTTGACAAGTGGCATGATAGGTGACATATAATATTAATGAGGAGTTCTAATAGCATAACACTTGTCAATAGGAGAATAAATCTATTCATTTATTAGAATATATATATATATATATATATATATATATATATATATATATATATATATATATATATATATGTAACGCTCGTGTTTCTGGGCTAAGCATTAGTATGATAATGTAATAGTCAATGTCAACTATTGTAACTCGTTTTGAAGTAATAAAGAGAAATTGTTTGAGTATTATGAGAATTATGTGAATTTATGTGTTTTATACTTGTTTATAAAGATATAATAAAATTAAGCGTTGAAAATAAAATGTTAGCTAAACCCGATATCTATGAAGAAAGTGGTAGTGGTCGTGACAAGGATTCTGGAGATATAAAGAACGTCAAAATCCGACTTAGAATAGTAAAAAATGTATCATTAATTTTAGATCCGACTTAGAATAGTAAAAAATGCACAACCCAGAATTTGAATTTTAGATCGATTGATTTTTAGCCGACACAACCTAAAGGAGAATTGAATATATCATTAATTGGAATTCAACGATAAAAAGACAGTCGAAAACGGAGTCCGTATGTAGAAGTTATGAATTTTACACGGTCATTTAACAGTGTAATCTTCTCATACTGTTAAATTTAAAATTGATCGAGAATTAGCCGATGGAGTCAAAAGGAAATATTAAGCAAGTACCTGAAGAATATCTAATGAACATAAATGGGTTCATGATGAATAGTAACTGAATATGTAATGAATATTGTTGATAATGTTAACTATGCTCTTAACAAATATTAAGGGTTTATAAATAAAGAGGCTCATGAATATTATTAGCTGAAAAATACTAACCAAGTACCTGAAGAATATCAATTGAATTCATTAATATTTACCTAGGAGTGTCATAATCTCAAAGTAACGATAACAGTGTAAATGTTGATTCCTATTTAGGGAGGTCGAATTGGAAGAAAGAGTCGCACTATGCTACTCATGAGTTTTTCCCCTAATTAAATGACTTAATTTTCTTTTTTTGTCTTTGATTTTCGGATTAACTCATAAAAAACCTTATATTTTGTGTTTTTTTCCGGATTAAATCTCAAATTTATTTTTTGCCTAAAAAACGATCTTGTATTTTTTCATTTTTTTCGACCAGACCTTTTTAGTGGTATGGTAGAGTGGAGTGGGCGGGGTAGCGGCAATGGTGGCAGTGGTGGTGGGGATGATGGCGACAGTTGTGGTGGTGATGCGTGGTAATGGTGGTGATGGCATGGTGGTGGTGGTGATGACGACGGTGATGGTGGTGGCGATGATGGCGGTAGTAGCGGTGATGGGGTAGTGTTGGTGGTGATGATGGTGACGATTGTGATGGTGATGTGTTGTAGTGGTGGTGGTAGTGATGACGACGGTGATGGTGGTGGCGGTGATGGCGGTAGTAGCAGTGATGGGGTAGTAGCGGTGGTGATGGTAGGTTGGTGATTGTGATAGTGGTGGTAGGTGGATATATGTGTGTTTGTGGAGTGGGGGTATGGGTGTGGTGGGTTAGGGGTGTTAGGGTGTGTGTATATTTAAAAAAAATGGAATTAGAAAAATATGGTTAACGGTTTTTTGAAATTTTGTAAATTCTTTGTCATTTTGGAAAATGAAAACTTTTCATTTTCCATGAAAATTTTAGAAAAATTGTTGAACTAAATGCGTTTTTAAAATTCTCATTTTTCTTAGAAATTTTTTCCGAAAAACGATTCATATTTTCTGTAACTAAACGCATGATACAGGCCGAAATGTTACTGGACCATCTTCTCCACAGGAGTCCACCACGAAACCCAAACGAGTCATCAGGCTTCCAACTCGTTTCAGAGAATAAGAAGTTCAGAAACCCTAGTTTTGACAAATTCTTATTGTAGTCGTATGTAGTTAGAGCACTTCCATAGAAGTCCTAGTCTTTAGTCACGTTTTCCTTATTTCTAGCATCTAATTCTTATTTAATAAACATTGTAACGTTACTTTGAGGATATGAACAAAAAATTGCTCCAAACTTCTTTGTGTCTTCTTCTTCTTACTTCTTGGGAGACTAGCCTTCTCTAACTAGCTCTGCCAAAGCACCTAAGGTCTTTTATGAGATTAACTCGTGAATCAACTATCGTTGCATATTACTACACTATGATATCCCCTCTTTAAGTTTTCGTTAATATCCCCCTGATTAAGAGGATGTTTGGATAAATTAGCTTATAGTTTATTAGCTTATTAGCTTATTAGCTTATTAGTGGTGAGAGAAAGTGGTTTTTACAAATTGTTTGGATTAGAAATAAGCAATAAGCTATAAGCAAGAGGGAATGTTTATTAAAATTAGCTTATTTAGCTTATCCCTACCGCAATAAGCTAATATTTAGTGTTTTCTATCCAAATACTCAAACTTAACTTATAACGGTATGGATAAGCAATAAGCTATAAGCACCCTCTTTTTTACCTATCCAAACACCCTCTAAATGTAAAGACTATCTGACTTTGATATTATTTTTTCTAGTTTACATCAACCCAAACGTCATGAAATTTGGATTTAAATTGTAAACCCTAAATTCAAACTGAAAAGCACAAAAAAATAAAATCATACCTTTTTAACAGGGAAATCGCAGCTGATCAGTAGAGAACTCCTCAGTGGAGATGGAGAAAAGAGAAGGAGAAATCAGAGGAGGATGATCATGTGTTTATAGAAGATTATGTGAATTTTAGTTTGTTGAATTCGTCGGTTGTCGTCGACTCGAATTCACCGGAGCTGGAGAACTCCGTAATGGGTCTTGGAATTTTTTGGATCTTGAATCTGGAAATGAAGCACTTGTAATCGTTGGAGAAGTAGAACTGAGTGGAGTTGGAGAAAAGAGAAGGAAAAAAGCAAATCTGGATTTTTTGGAGAGAGAGAGAGAGAGAGAGAGAGAGAGAGAGAGAGAGAGAAAGAGAGGGCATTTTAGTCTTTTCAGTTTTCCGAGGGACTAAAATCACAAGCAAACATGGTCAAAAGGAACACGAAACCAAAAATGTCGGGGTTTGGACTAAAACCCCCCAAAAAAATGCATACCACAGGGATCATTTTTGCAGTTTTGTCTACCAAAAATTTGTGAAAGAAAACAAAACAGAAGAAGAAAAGTCGAGAAGTGATGAAGGTACCAAAAATTTGACAAAGAAAAATCGAGAAATCGAACCAGGGAAAGGGAATACGAAATTATCGACTAAGCGAGTACCAAACGATGGCGAATTAGCGATGGAGAGAACGACGTTCCTGTAATGAGTCGTGAACTGCCTCTGCCTTCTCGACTCTCTAGCTCCTGTAACGACGTCGTTGGCGAGAACGATGGCGGAATTCCGATGAGGCGGTGAGTAATGGGGTGACTGTGAGTCGGACGATGGTTGATTGTTGTTTGAATTCTTGTCCTAAGCGAGTGCAGATCAAAGAAACGATTTGGGAATATTTGTTTGTAACTAAATTCTTATAGCCTATTTTAAGTATTTTTACATTACATAATATAAATAATATATATACATATAAATAATATAATACGGTTCGGTTCGGGTATCCGCGGATATCTAAATATACAAATCGAAACCGGTCCGCATGTAACCGTTTTTTTTTTTGGGTTTTTTTTTTTTTTTTTTTTTTTCGGATCGACCGGATCAGCTCGGTTTTTCGGTTTTGCGGTTTTTTTGCATATCCCTTGCCTTAATCTCAACTAACTCTTGATGCATGTATACCAAACTCAATGTTAAAAACATTACTTTGACATAATAGACACATATCCTCAAATTTGTTATGAGTTTGACCTCAAGTCAACTTATAAGAACAAATAAAATTATCCGCTATAATAAACAGCATTTCATAAAAAATGTTGCAAGTTATAAAAATGAGATAATATGTTGTGATAAATTTTGGTTAACAAGCTAATAGATCAAAAAAGACAATATTTTTATATGTTTTTGAACAATTTGAGATGTGAAATATGTCAATTTCTTATTATTAATATTATTATTATATATAAATTGAAACAAGAGTCTAGATTCCAACAATTGTCATCATTTTCCGAATAAAGACTTAACAATAAGAAATCAGAGTACAAAATCTTTAAAGTAGGATAGAATTGAAATCAATTTATCCAAGCATTAAAAACTGACTATTGAAAACTAAAGCAATAACAATCTGATAATCAATTTTATAATGTAAAACCAAACAATGCTAACTTCATAATTATTTTTAACGTTTTCTTTTACAAAATATTATCATGTCCATCTGTTCTATGTCTCATCATCATAATCATCCGGAAGCAAATGAAAAACAAATAAGAATCCAGAACATGAATCTTTTATAAATAAATACAAAAATTCCAATTTTCACGCCAAAATAGACAAGTTATTAAGAAAAAATCACATCTTTGGATTCTAAGAAAGATTCATTACATCATATCATATAAACCTGTAGAGACAACCCTTTTGCAAAAAACAAAACAATCTTTCACCACACTATTCACATCACAAGAACCAATCTCAAAATCTCCACACAAAAAAAATAAAAACCTATTAAAAAGAATTTTCTAACCTTCAACAATGACAATATCTCCAGGTGTCACATCCTCATTGGTCAATTCCTCAACCCCTGAAGCATTCTTTTCAGCACCAACTTCTATCCAATCCTCAACCTCAAGAGGATTTACAGAAGGGATTTGGACTGCTTCAAATTCCTCATTCCAAACTTGATCCTTTTCTTCATCTTCTGTTTTACCAGTATTTTCATTTGACTTTTCGGGTTTGACCATGGCTTTGGAAGGTGAGGTTTTTGCTTTGACTTTTCCAGTTGACTTTTCCGGTTTGACTACCTCTTTCTCATGGTTGACTTTACTTGATGATTCAGCCACAGCGCTCTTGTTTCTGCCCAGGTTTGGAGATTTTGGACGTGTGGGTGGCATCTACAAAGGGACAAAATAGTAATTTGACATGCAATACTCAGCCAAGGGTACCATAGTAATTTACATCACAAAAGATCTCTTGAAGGATAAACAGTGTCATTCTGTCTCTTGTGCATACACATAGATGTGTAAAACACAAAGGCTAAAAGAGCAAAAGTGCAAAACTCGGTCAAGGGCAAAACAGTAATTTACCTTCTTCAGTTCTACTTTCGGAGGGGGTTTTTTTGTAAAACTTTGGCAGTGGGGCAGCTTTAAATGTTAAACTCTTCCTTAATTTCTTGATCTCAGCTTCTTGGCTTTCCTGCATATTTGTAACCCCATGAGTTAAAAACATTGACTTGATTATAATTTCGTTGACTAATGAGTTTTAAAGATTCTTTGACCTTTGACTTTTCTTGCAAATTAGTCTTCTCCATTTCCTTTGCATGAGTCTTTTCCTCCAACTTTGAATAGAACTAATGCACAAAGATTAAACTTTGTCGGTTTTTATGTTATAAAAAAAAGGGTAAACATGCAGGGGCAATATGGTAAAATCATTACCTGTCTTCGCTTTTCAGCACGTTCATCCAACCTGAAAGAAAAGCCGGAGGCAATGTTCCTATGTTGCCCTCTGTGTTGTGACATCATAAAATAAAATTTTAAAGAATAATCAAGTTCTTGAAATCAAGAAAAGAGAAAAAAAATTAAAAAAATGAAATTTAATCAAAAAGTAAGCAGAGAATAATACGATGAGGTAGAGGAACGAGTGTCATCATCTTCTCTAACTGCGGTTTTGATTGGTTTTGAATGTTGATTAACTGATCTGCAATTGCAAACAGCCTCAAAAATTAATCAGGGTTATGTAGGTCATTTCAAGATCTGTGAACTTTTGTTTCATAATGTTTAGGTGTAAGGCTAATTATGAACATTGAGATGATGTGTTTACTTAAAAGTCCATTAATCTATCTTGCTTGACACATGAAGGAAGATTAAATATTCCATAACATACAAGGGTAAAACCGTAAAAATAGAATAAATCTTTAGAACGCAATATTTCATCGCTAAGGCAATGTGCAAAACCTTGAATAACTAACTTGGAGTGATTTAATAATACATTTCCTTAAATACCCTTAATATATTATCCGACCATAAGGAAGAAAGTTTAAATCTTGCATAACTTACAAGGGTAAAAACGGGAAAAAAATTGTAATTATGACAAACAACTATAAGAAATCAATTGAATGGCTTACAAGGAGTCTTCAGAAGGAGGGCAGTCTTCATTTCCATTGGATTTTTTGGGCTAAAACAAACAACCAAAAGTATAAACTAAGAACATGTCAATTCATCAAAGAATCAAAAATGTGAAAGACATTTTTACCCTTGAGGTGTGTAGGCCTGTGACTGAATGTAAACTGGCTCTCCGGGTAGCCATACCACTACTCTTTGCAGTCACTTCTGTAGACTTCACTCCAACAGAAGCTCTCCTATTAGCTGTATACAAACTAGAAGATCTTGATGAGCCAGCTCCATTGGTTAATGTGGCTTTACCTTTTGACTCAATTCGTGGTTTCACAGGGTGCCCAGCAATGGCAGTCTTCATGGAATTAGGGTTTGGGGTTTTAGCAGGAAAAGATGAACTCTGAGACGGATTTGACTTAGGATTGCGAGAGGAAGAACGAGTACTAGGGATGTTTTTAGTTACTTTCTTGTTCTTTGAAGTAGTGTCGTTAGTTGAAACTGTAATGGAGCTTTTCCCTCTAATGTCAGACGATACAATCACTTCAACTCCTGTTGAATTAAGGGGCTCCTCGACTTTATTTGAGTTTTCTTCCTCTTTTTTCACATTCGGATCTTCATTAACAGCAACACCGCTTTCGTCCTCTAAAACAACTTCGTTTCCGGACTCCATCCCTATCGAGAATTCATTGAAAACGGAAATGACGTCAGTTACTATTGCAGACGATGAATTATAGAATGATAAATCCGGCGAAAGTTGAACCAACTAACACTTCTATAATGTCTAATACAATGTTTGATCACTTAATTTTGGGATTTTAGTTGAACCCACAGAAATGATAAAGAATCTAAGCAACAAACACGTCGAACTTCACTGTTTAGGGTTTTGAAACATTGTAAAATAGATAGAGAAGGTTTTGACGCGAGTGTTGTCGTTTTCTGCTTACACAATACGAAGACCATCAAGAATCACTCCCTTTTCAACTAATTTCCAATCAGTACTACGAAATCAATAGATAAATATGCTAAGAACAAAAAAGATAAAAAGATCCATCAAAAACAAGAATCAAATACACTCGACCCAGAAGTCGAAACCGTCAAAATGGGATAAACTGGAGCAATTCTTTTTTCTGTAAAAAATGACGAACAATTAAGATGAAGTATAAGGGTGTACCTCGTTTGAGAAATTGAATAGTAGTAGGAGTCTCGGAGATGTGCTTTCAGAAGAATCAGAAGAAGTATGAAGGAGTTTGTGTTGAAATTCAAATGATATGAATGAGTGAGTTGGCTACCGAGAGATTACAGGGAGCGTGGAGTGGATCATGGATGAAAATGGTGGGAATGGGGGTAAATTTTCACGCAAAGACGAAATTGCCACAAAAGCCACTAACCCCCCTGAGTTGTCGATTTTTTTATTTTATTATTATTTTATTTTTTCGGAGACAAAATAACGACAACTAAAATAAACGAAATATATTAATAGATTTTATTTTTGAAGTAATCTACAGAAAACTTTATAAAAGAAAAGCCGATTTTTTAAGTATTTGTAGTTTTGTACCGCTGAAAATAATTTGTCACGTGAAGTAATTAGACGAATCTGTGTGTTGGGTAGATATAAGTAAAATATTGACGAATATATTGTTATTAAGAAAATATATCATTGTTACTAAGTTTGAATTAATAATCATGACACTAACTTATTATAAAACATTCTGATTGTTTTAAATAAAATATAACAATATAAATATTAAACTTACATCATTCCAATAGTCATTATCTTGGATTCTACATGAAAATAAAAATAAACTTATATCTTGATTTATACTTATTTTTTAATTATGAATGGTTAATCAATTTATATAGGCATATTTTATGATTATGACATTTTAATTGAATATATCAATAGTTTTAAATTACTTTAAACATTTAACATCATATTAAACATTTATTACCTTTAAATTACTTTAAAACCTTTTGATGTAGGTTCTATATTTGACATTATATTGAAACTTTCAATAATAAGTCAGTACCAAAAGGTCTTTGGCCTAGCGGTAAGGAGTGATCCTCTTATTTGAAAGGTCATGGGTTTAAGTCTTATTTGAAACATAAATAGTAGTTAGAAGTAGATTAGTTTGCCGTTTCAAAATAAAAATAAAAAGTAATTTTTGATCTATTTTTTTGTTAATTTTTCATTTTTGATTTAGTTATTATATTTAAACTTTTTGATTATTTAGAAAAAAGGGTTTGAAAATAAAGAATTAATATTAAAAAGAGTTAATTTAATGTATTAATTAGAAAAAAAAAGTTAAAAAGTTAGGAGTTTCAAATGAATATGGTGAAAGGAAAATAGTCTCTTTTACAGTATATAAATATAATAGATAATATATAACAGATAATAGATAATAGATAATAAACTAGTGGTAGTATACTTGCGATAGTTACATAAAATTTGTGTATATACATTAAAATAAGACTAATCGGTATGGTTTCCAGGACAACACGACCACATCACCATCTTCTTTCCATCACTTCTAGTGGGGATGGTGTTTGTCGGTTACCACGGCGTCGTGTGTAACGTTTGGTTCGTGGTATGTATTTAACTTATAAATTATTCATTTTTATAGAGCAACTCGACGAGTTAGAGGCCCCAGACTCGTCGAGTATAGATATTTTAGACCGCGCGTTTTGTTGACCAACTCGACGAGTTGGGAGATATCAACTCGACAAGTTGGCTGGGTGAAATGAAACCCTAAATTCAGGGTTTTGCACCCTATTTAAACACCTTAAACCTTTCATCATGTCCTCATTTTCCAGCCTCCACTGTCCTAACCCTAAATCTCGAAACCCTAAGCTACCTTGAGAGTTTGTGAGCCATTTTTGAGGGAGTTCTGTGTGCTTGAAGCTCGTGGAAGAAAGAGAAGCTTGGAGGAATGAGGAGGAGCCGTTGGATCCAGAAACTTTGCTTCATTTTAGTCACTTTTTTGGTATAAAGCTTGAACCTTGCCTTGTAGTTGTTTAGATCTTCTTTTAGAGTTATTTTGCTTGGTTTTGGCCCAAATATCATGGTCCTTAGGAGTTGGACGTCCCAAATGAGTTAACACTTCAGATCTAGGGTCTTGAGGGATTTTCATGGCATAAAGGTGCCAACTTTATGGCCATGGAAGTCCCATGCAACCTTTAGACCATCATTTTGGCCTTTTGGAGCTTCTAATGGTCATGCATGTAGAGAAAGCTGGAACTTTACGTGATCTTTCTGTCCCTAGAGTTCAGATCTATGACCTCGTGGTCTATCTTGAAGTTTTGGTGGCCTTTGGATTAAGACTTTGACCTTTTTGGGTTAGGGTTTGAGCTTAATCTCATTAGGAAGGGTATTGATGGGTAAAGCTGGAAACTTTACCCTCCTAGAGGCATTTCCAGTCGAGATCTAAAGTATAATGAGTTAAGAAGTAATTAACAGACTGAAGAACTCGACGAGTTCATGAAGGAACTCGACGAGTTGAATGGAAGTGTCCTGATTCTGTTGATAGGGAGGAACTCGACGAGTTTGTGGAAGAACTCGACGAGTTGGATCGCGAAATCACAATTCTGTGATTCATAGTAACTCGACGAATTGAGTCAACTCGGAGCGTTGACTTTGACTTGGACCAAAGTTGACCCTTAAGGGGTTATGAGTATGAAAGGGTAATTAAGGAAATCTTTTATGTGTAGGGGATTGAGTTGGTTTGATATTCGGATTCGGGGACTGTTCAGCTACTTCCAGTTTTCTAGGTGAGTTACCTTCCCGGTATAAGTGGGTCGAAGGCACCAATGTCAGCCCACTAGTAGTTGTTTAAGGTAGAGATGATTGTCTTTGTGATAATTGTCTGGTATGCCACTATCTGTTGAGATTTATGTGCTTGTATGCTATGTTATTATGTGGTAGTGGTAGGGGTGAAGTAGACCTCGTAGCCGTTCGAAAGAGACCGAAGGGGTAGGCCAGCACCCAGATATGCTAAGCAGTATGTGATTTATGTGCTTATATGATAGGATATTATGTGGTAGTGGTATGGGTGAAATAGTCCCCGTAACCGGTTGAAAGAGACCAAAGGGGTAGGCCAACACCCAGATATGCTAGACAGTTACCGGTTGAAAGAAACTGAAGGGGTAGGCCAGCACCCTGATATGCTAGGCAGTTACCGGTTGAAAGAGACCGAAGGGGTAGGCCAGCACCCTGATATGATAGGTGGATACCGGTTGAAAGAGACCGGAGGGGTAGGCCAGCACCCTGATATGCTAGGCAGTACCGGTTGAAAGAGACCGAAGAGGTAGGCCAACACCCGGATATGCTAGGCAGTATGTTTATTGTATGGTGTATGGTATGATGGGGGAACTCACTAAGCTTCGTGCTTAGGGTTTTTAGTTTTGGTTTCAGGTACTTCTTCTTCGAAATGAAATTTTTGGTCATGAATTTTGGGATGTTACATCGTGAGGCCAAGAAAGAAGAAAAAACAAAAAAAACAAAGAGAGAATGGGGTGTTGTCTTGTGTCGAGCCCTCAACGCAAAGCCACGAGGCGTTAGGCCAGGGTGGTGTTTTTGACTCCTCCACACCGTTGAGGATGGCCAAGTCAACCTCCCATTTCTGTTACCTGGCCCATACCCAACAGCCTAAGAAAGATATATTTACATGTTTCATTATATATCAATCAAGTATAAGAGTATATTTTTGGTATGTAACTATAAATATATAAAAACGGCTTTTTATATATTTTTACATCTTTATATACATTAAAGCTTATGTGTATAAAATTGAAAAACTTATTTGTAAAATAAAACAAGTTTTTAAAAACAATTTAAGAAAAAAAAAACGTGCATAAATAAAAAAAATGTAAATAATCATAGGATAGTGTACAAAATGATCATAAAAAAACTAAAGTTAACAACTTACACTTAAATCCAAAATTTATAATCTCTTTTATCTATCCAAAATATTGGGTCTTCATTAAGTCTACGAACACATGTCAAAAAATGTAGGTTATACTGGGAATGCCTAATGAGTATTCCCGAGGTCAACTATTTATATTAGAAGAAGCCAATCAAAAAAATCCAAAAATCAAACCTCCAAGAAGGTTATAAAACTCCTAAAGATATGTCAAATTCGATAGTTATAACTCTCTCAACAAAACTAAAGAGTATATCAACATTTTGTTGGATTAAGGTGTCTAAGCTCATAACTAAATTGATATATAATTGTAATTGAAATCAAAATACTTTTTGAGTTTCCCTCATAACTAGAACTTGATTAGAATGATACTTGTAGAGAGAGGATAAATGTATTAGTTTATCATATGATTAACAAATTGTAATATATGATTTTTTAATATATTATATGATTAATATATTAATCGAAATAAATAGTTGATTTGTTAATTTATTATGTGATTAATAAACTAATATGAGATCAATTATTAAATAATTTATTTATTAATTTATATGATTGATAAATTAATATGAAATCAATAAGAATTGATTAATTATTAATCAAAATTAGTCTTAAATTAATTAGAATTAATTAAAGGTGCAATGATTGAGTTGTAATTGTTCAATAGTTAACAAATGAGAGGATCTAGAACCTTCGACAAGGTGGACGATTTTGAGGACCCTTTCAAGGTTTCTAGAATGCTACAAAATGATAATTAGGAAAGTAGATAATTACCTTACTTTACATATATTATTATATGTTCATATTTAGGTTTTTTAGGGTTTTCAAGCAACTATAAATAGGAGCATTGGGTCAACTATTTTCTCCAACTCTTGTACCTAGAGAATTCTGATTTCTCTTACTCTCCTCCTCTTTTGTCTTCTAGTTCTAAGGTTTGGGTGTGAGCCATTAGAGCCATTAGAGGCATTATCAGGTAGCGTGATTCCTCTAGATAATTGTTCACTTAGGATTCGTGAGAATCAGTTGGGCTGGGTAGAATGTCTTAAGGATATTTATATCAAATTTTATATACCTATATTATTTGTCAATGATTGTTTTGCACGAATGATACTATGATTTATTATGGGCTTGAAAACCCTATGCATCTCACTAGGTTTCCCAAACATTACCTACTCATTTTATGTGCATCACAGGTAGTGGATGTAAGGCTGTTGAAGCTTAGTTAGGATGTCGAGTGAAATAAGAGACGAGTCTGTTGTAGTATTTCAGGACCTTTTATATATTTACGATGTAATGTATGTTTTGATATGAACGATGACATCCTCAGAATTTAATATAGCGAAATAACTTTTGTCATCTCAACATGTTTTATATAACTGGGAATTTTCGCATCTTAATTATTAAA